GGGGGGGGGGGTTATGCCAGGCACGTGCTGCAACGCCGGCCTCGCCGGGGCAATTAGTCCCTTGCTCTACCCATTATGGTTCTTATGCTTGGCTTTCCTTAGATTATGAATCAATTAAATGTTTCTAGCGGTGATTTGCATAGCGCGGTGTGAGCAGGGCTCTTACGCGTGCCTCCTGGTGCTGTTTGGAAAGGAAGGGCAATTGGGAGAGGCAGTCGCACCATATGGCCCTGCTGCATCGCATTAAGGCTTTAGCACTGACTGCTGTTAATTAAATGTAACCCAGCCCTCACCACGCGGCCAGCACAACGTGACGCAGGAATACACTGGGGCTGGTGAACTTGCTGCGTGGTGCGTTGTTTGAACGAGGGGGATGTAAATATGTTTTGCCGACGTGGGCCTTTGCTTTCTGCCCGCCGTTCCTGATTAACTCCCTCAAAACCTGGTGAGGGCCAGCGTATTCCCTGGGGTTGGCAGCTCTGCTGTGCCTGGCACGCCGGAGCAAATGTGTGAATGAACGTGCTTAGAGAAATAGTGTGGGTTTATTTCAAGCCAAACAAACTTTGTTGGGGCTCTTGTCTTTCACCCGCCATCCTGCAAAGCTGTCACGGGGCGCATGCATGAGGTGAGATCCTGGGCTGTGTGTTTTGAAATCCTGATCTAAAGTAATAATTCACAGAATTTTGTGGTGTTGCAAATACTATAAATAGTTGTTTTGAAGGACTTCTCCTCTGGCAGGATTTTTTCCATAGTTATATTGAAACAAGTCTTAAATAACTCTATTTCCCTTTTCATTTTGGAGGAGAATTATTCACACCGTGGGAGTAGTTCTGCCTCTAAAATTCCCCAACTAACCAGGCTGGGGGGGGACACGACAATTCAGTGGTGATGCTCGTAAGAGCATCTGCATTCCCTGTCATCCCAGCAGTGTATCCTTTTAAAAATGCCTGGGAGCTGCAGACGGGATGTGCTATCCTCCCTTGGTGCATGTTTCTTTTTCTTCCGATGCGGGGTTGCTGCTTGTTTGCTTTTCACTCGCAGCTTGAGGACACTCAGGGTTTCCTTTGCACAGTTCTGGCCTATTTTTACGTACATCAGATCTGGTTGTCTTCAGTGAAACGTGAAGGTGGGCTTTATTGCACCTCGCTCCCCAAACGGTCCCTGTCCCTTCCTGCCTGTGCCATGGGCACGGTGTGCATGGGGTGGTGCCCAGGAGGGGGGAAGCGCTGCCTGCAGGATTGCGAACGTGAATTGCGAAGGTCTGGGGCTGCCCTGGGTGAAGGGAGGGGGGGGTGGGAGCTGGCCCCACTGCTGAGCGAGCAGGGGGCTTTGGCCACGTGGTTTTTATGCCTACCAGCGATGCACTGAAATCCCCTCGGCTCCATTTCCCCTTTCTCAAGCGGCGTGGAGCTGACTTTCCAAGGCCAACGTGGGATGCGTGCTCTGCAGTTCCTCTTCCAGCTGCGGGTCTGGGTGGAAGGGGTGGGGGCAGAGACCTGGCAAGTCCTGGAATCAGGAAAATGATCCCCTTGGGTGGCTTTCCTCGGGTGTCTGGCAGGTTTAGGCTGTCCTCAAGCACGCTCACGGCTCTGGAGGTGGCGGACAGGCTCTTACAGAGGTTTTAGCTCAAGTCCTACCCGCGGGTGCTGCATCTGGGGCTGGTGCAGACGTTGTCTGAGACATCGGGATCCTTTTCGCTGCCTTTATCAGGAACCTCTAGGTTGGTCCCACGCCTGGCAGCCATCAAGCACGCTGTTCCCATTGGCATCTACGCGAAGGGATGGGGAGGTGGGAGCTCGGCAGTGACCGACCTCTGGCCATCCTGCTGGCATTCATTAAAAAACTTGTTTTCAGTCTCAAAGTGAATGCAGTTGGGCTTGAGGAGACGTTGTGCCATTATAGGCTGTGTCTTGCATATCCCCTATCTAATGTGTGTGGCTTTGTGCTGCTGGCACCTTTCAAAGCCTGAGTGAATATTAAAAGAAAAGAAAAATTAAAAGTGAAAATGAAAAGAAAAATCTCAGTGTAGTGTAAATGTGTCTGGCAGCTTCTCCCGACGGCAGAGGCTGCTGTAGCTGGGGTGGAGGGGGCTGGATGGGCAGGTTGCAGAGCTGTATCTTTGCTGTGGGATTTTTTGGTGTTTGTTCTGGTGGGGCAGAATGCAGCCATTTGAATGTAGTGGTGACTAATGCAGCTTCAAAGCCTTTGGTGTGTTTTATTTCACTTTGGAGCGGGGACAGCAGAGAAACCAGGCTGGGCTCTGCGCTGGGGACAGCTTCTCGGTGAGAAGGGTTCAGGTGGATGCTGGTGGGAGCAGCGCGCGGATGAGGCAGCGATGGGTCGGGCTTTGGCCGATGGCTCGAGTGCTTCCCTGGCTCCCAGCATCTCCGTTGGTGCAGCCGCAGGATTTCAGTTGCATTTTTCTTTTTTTTTCCTGGCAGCATCATGCTGTTGACTTGGGGTCCCTCTGCACTGCATGGGGTGGGCTGGTGACAAGGGGCAAGATCCCTTAAGGATTAACACAGAAAAATTACATGAGAGCCTAGCTTGTGCATGGGTCGGCTGCTTTGCTCCCTTTCTGTGCCAGTTTACCCCGAGATAGGCCAGTTCTTCCCGGGGGACTTTCTCGTCCTCGCTGTGCCCATGATGCAGGTGCTGATATGAAAGTCCTGTTTCTGGACAAAAAAGTGTCAGTAAGACCTGTCCCAGCGATCGCTCAGCAGCGTGCCCGCTCCTTCACCTTGCTCCATCCTCTGGTTTGGCCAGGGCGCTTACCCAGGCGTGTGCTGACCCCATGTCTGTGCTGGTGGGGCTCCCCGTGGCCGTGGCCTCTTGCCCTGGCAGCTGAGGGCATGATTTACTGCCCACATATTTCCTGGGCCGTGTTGATGAAGTCCCATGGAGCTGTTTCTTCGGCCCAGGTGGGTGAAGCCGGATGCACGCGGAGCGACCATAAAGAGTTTCTGTTTGTTTGCTGGTGGGAGCTGTGGTTTGCCCAGCAGAGCCGCTGGAATTGGATGCTGTCCTTGATCGGCACAGTGGGTCTTGGCTCTGATGACCACGGTGTCACCAAAATAGGACGTCGTGGGCTGAAGTGCTGCTTTGCAAGAAAATCACGCCAGCTGTCTGTGCTTCCCTCCCAGGCTGGCTGCGAGGCACTGCCTCGAGGAAAACCTCGGAGCGCATCCAGCGCCTGATGATCTTTGGTGGCAAACGCAGCTGTACCTGAATTCAGATTGTGATCTGTAGATCTTGCGACATGGACCTGGTTCAGTCAAGCTCTTTGGCATCCGTCTGGGTTTATGCCTCTGGTCTGAAGCCACCCTTATCTCTCAGAGCTAGGTTAATTCTGCATCCAAGTACTGCGCTGGATCAGGACCCATTTCCTTAAGGAGGGAGCTGGTTAAACACACACCATTTCTCTTTTGAGTTTGTCGAGCAAACTAGAATTCTAATATTACTGGCTCTCAAGTAGGTGTTTGCTTAAGATCATGAATTCTTTAGCAGGTGTGGATGCTCTTAAAAAGCCCAGCCCAGCCTCACGGGGATGAGGCTCCGCTTGCACCGCTGGCACTCTCCAGGACACGGTGATTTTTCATGTTCTCTTCTTCCAACGCGTCCTCCCACGCTCTGTCATGTCTCTGGTCTTGCCACAGTAAATAATAATTGCTAACAGTTCATAGGACCCATGGTACTTTGCATTTCTGTCCTATTCAGCTGGTCCAGACAGATTCCTGAGGCTTCTCCAGCTCCCAGGTGACTCGGGCGGGTTGGGATGGCGCTTGCCGGGCGGGTGCTGCTGAGGTCGGATGAGGACGGGGTGGGGTGCTGGGCTGCATCCCTGCCCGGAGGGGATGGAGCTGTGGGGAGGGACGGTGACCTGCCCAGAGCCGTGGGGCAGGCTGCTGGGGCTCCTGGAGTAGCTCGGGTCTTCGGGGCCATGTTTCTTGCTGCAATCCAGTCCGGTGCCTTGGGAAGGATTTACGGAGAGACGTGTCAGACGAGGCTCCAGCTCTTGCTTTGTCGGTTAGTTTTTGGGCTCTTTTCTCCCCCTGCTTCGCCCCTGGCCCAGCAGGTTTAGTTGAGTTTGCTGGTCTCGGTGTGGGAAGAAGGGACGCGAGTAGCTGAAGAGATGCTGTCTAGGCATTGGGACAGCAAGGGGTGAATAAGAAAGTCCCCTGTGCTAACTCATTGCTTACGCTGCTTGGTGTGATTTTTGAGGATTAGTTAAATTTCAGCTTTGTTATTCCCTGTGTAAAAGCAAGGCTGTGTTGTGCGGGGTGCTGGGAACCCGGTCTGTTTGTAAGAGAAGTCCTGAGCTGAGAGGAGAGGGGACAGTCATGATGGAGAGGGTACAAAGTGGCAGGTTTCACGCGTGCTGTTAAACTGATGTTTATGTCCCACCCCATCATTTGACACCCGCTATAGTTGTAACCGATAGATGCTGCGGAAGGACTGTAGTATTGAGCTTAAAACCTGGCTAACTACCTGCAGAGTTTAAATCAATATTACAAATATAGTTAATCTCAGCATATTCCTTTAATTTAACCTTTGATTAAACACTGGGGACTTTTTTTCTTAAACTTCAGATGCCTGCAGGTTGGAAAGAGCCCTCCCAGCATACGGCTGGGTCCTGCGCTTTCTCTCGCTAATCTCTTCCGTTGGGTTGTTTTATCTTATCAAGCAAAAAGCCCCAGAAATAGAAAGTTTTCCATGGCTAACAGGACAAGCCCAGAGATGCACAAGCCCTGAGCTGTGCATTGCCTCATTGCTCAAAAAAAAAAAAAAAAAGAAAGAAAGAAAAAAAAAAAAAAATCCGTCAAATGGCAGCAGGTTGTAAATGGACAATGTCACTGTTTTATCTCCGTGGGGGGAAAGGCCTCTCGTGGAAGCAGACGTAGCTTGCACCGATGCACATTGCATCTCAGCAGCATTCGGCGTTGAAGAGCTGCCTGCCCGGCTCTGCGTGCCTGGGAAGCTATCGATCTCCTCTCGCAAGGATGACGGACGGGAAAGCGGGGACAGCCGCTTGCTTTGGGACTGTAACGAAGAGAATTCGCAAAATATTCAGGCATTTTCCCAAGTCAAAGTCTTGGTCGGAGGGACTCTGGCTGCTGAGGAGGCCGAGCAGGGAGGTCTGGCTGGTTAGAGGTAGGTGGTGGCGTAAATCACTGTGTTTGAGAGTATTTGCTGGCTGCTGCTGCGCGCAGGATTTCTGCTGCTCCTTAGGGGATTCCTACGGTGCTGCCGAGCACGGCTGGCGATGCGTGGCCACACGGGATCCTGCCCAGCTGGCACAGGGCTGGCACGGGGCTGGCACCCTCTCCTGCTCCGGCTCCAGCAGCACCAGGCAGCTTCAACTTCTGCTCCGGCTCCTTCTGCAGCCCAGCTCGGGATGGGGAGCACCGCGGCAGAGCCCAGCTCGGGATGGGGAGCACCGCGGCAGAGCCCAGCTCGGGATGGGGAGCACCGCGGCAGAGCCCAGCTCAGGATGGGGGGGACGCCCGGCGAGCCCCGCTCGGAAGGAGGAGCACCGCGGCAGAGCCCAGCTCAGGATGTTGGTGCTGCCCAACTTGCCCCGCTCGGAAGGAAAATTTACCTTTTAGTAAATGATGGCTCAGGAGCATCTGCCTGGCAGCTGGGCTCACACTCCAGACCCTGCAGTGGTGCAGGGACCTCTCAGCAGGGTGCTTGTCACCAGGGGGGTGGTCTTGCCTGCTCTGAACAGAAAGCCACCCTTGGGTTTTGCCTGTGTCTGCAAACAAACTAAACCCAAACCACCTGATTTAGACCTAAACCTGCTGAGATCTCCAGTGACGGAGCTGCAGACGTGAGGCAGGGATGGGGCTGGATCGTTGCCGTGGGGGATGTCAGAAAGTGCTTCACAAGAAGACTTAAGACCCTTCCCTGCATTTGCTCCGTGAATGCCAGGGCTGGTGGCGATGCCGCAGGTCCCGCCTTGTCCCATCCTGGCTGGAGGAGACGCCCGCTGGCGCTGGTGAGGTCGCAGGGCCGCATCCTGCAGCCGTCCCTGAGGTTACCCCGAGTGACGTCAGACGTCTCCGCCGAGCGAGGGCAGAGGCACCGAGCCCTCGGGTCTTAAGCAGCACAGCTTGCAAAATCCAACCTCATGCCTAGCCGGCGTCGAAAGGCGCGTGGGCTGGCTGAGGGGTGCCGGAGCTGGAAGGCGGAGGGAAGAAACCTCTGTTCTTCAACATCATCCACATCCAGCCTGCGGGGTCTCACACCGCTTTCAAAGTTCATGACGATTTATTTTTCCTTCTCTGGTGGCTCTGAGCCTTCCCATGGCAGCTGGGTCACGCTGCAAAGGTTTTCCTTCGCTTTGCTGATCCTGGGAGCGTTTCTGATTTGCCTTTGTTTTAAAATGAATGGCAGGATCCTTACCAAGCCAGGAGCCAGAGCTTTAAGAGAACTCCTGCAATTCCGTGATTCATTTTAACGTCACACAAAGGTTTTTCTGCCGCTTGTTTCCAGCGCGTCCTCTCGACAACGTTCCTCTGCGGTCTGGCGTGCGCCGGGGCTGGCAGCCCTGCGGCGGGGGGGCGCTGGGGCAGAGCAGTCGCCCAGCACCGCTGCAGGAACCACAAACTTTGGCCAGAAGTCAGAGTTTAAGAGCATCAGAGCGGAGGTGTTGGGATGCTCTAGACCCTTTCCATCTTAATTTCGGGGGTAATCACATCTGGTCTCCTGCGCGGTGCTGCTTTGGGGTTGCAGGAGGCTTTTCTTTAGGTGAAAGCCTGGCTGAGGTTGGGTTTTTGGAGCCTCTGCCGTCGCTGGGGCTGGGATTTGGCCACTCTGCCACAGACCTGCATCTTCTCCTTCTGTCTCCCCAGCCTACAGATCTGGGGCTTGCCCGTGGGTTGGATCAGAAGATGCCCCATAGCATCTGCAGTGTTGGGGGGGCGGGGGTGGGCACGATGACTGCAGTCCTATATTTAGGCGTCTGGATGGGCTTCTGTATTGGACTGGTTTACTCTGTCCAACGTTATCCCCCTGAGAAACTTTATCTGGGGAGAAAGGGAAATTCCTTTCAGCCACCAAAGTTTTTCACAGCATCATGATCTGACTTATTTATTTATTTAAAGAAACTACATTTCCAAGAGTAGCTTTGTTTGACTTGAATGGAAATTATCTTAAAGCCTAAGTGGAGGCATCCTGCTCCTCTTGGCTAACCTATCACGTGGCTGCTTCCTAAAGCTGTGCTGGGTTTCTAAAATTAGCATTCCCTGCCGGATACCGAGTGATTAGGTCTGTTAATAGGTGATGGTGACTAAGGAGGTGTCATACTTTAATCCCATAAAGAAATGCCTGCCCATAATGGGCCTGATCCGGAGGTGTCATTGGGAGCTGTGATTTCTGTGGTCCGTGTTACGTCTTTCAGACCTCTTACCGCGCGCCTCCTTCACCCGAGGGGCTCGAGCCTTCCCGGCCCGGCTGGCTGCGGTCTGGGGCCGCAGGAGGCAGCTGCCCAAATCTGAAAATCCTGGACCAAATCGGCAGAAGGGGCCTCTCCGCTGGCACCAGATGCTCAGGTGAACCTGCAACTGGAGCATCTTCAAATTGGCACCTCCAGCAAAGACTTGGCCAATGCCCCCAGTAAAAGGCTGTTCCAGATGCTCAAAAGGTCACGCATTAAATTACCATGTAATTGTGCAGCTTATTGCTAATTAAAAAAAAAAAAAAGCAAGTCTCCCTGCTTTCCCCTGGGCTTACTTGAGACAACTGGCTTGGAATAGGAGAATGATAGACAGCTCATGCCAGATGAATGTTAAATGATAAATGATTTCCCTGTTTCCCCTGGAGATTGATGTTTTCCCCCCTCAGGCACCAGCTCCCAGCAGTGGGTTCTGCTCCTCTCATTCATTCCCGGGCATTCCCGCGTGTGAGTGTTCAGCAGAGCTGAACAGAAATCCCTGTTTCCAGAGCAAACATGGGATATTCCTTTGCCTTCTTGCAAGCCCCAGATATTCAAAACCAATGACCCAAATGCTAAAGAAAAAAGGAAAAGAAAAAAGATGGGTATTTAAAATACAAGCTCGCTGGCTTGGAGCGGGGTGGCAGGGCTGGTGCAGGGACGGGCACTCTGTCCCGTCTCCTGTTGAGTGAATTCTCTTGCCTTGGTTTTAGGATTTTTTTTTTTATTTTTTTTAGGTTGGTGACCGCTCTGGAATTTTGGATAGTGTAAAAAGTAAATGTAATGCTGTTTGTACGGCAGTTAAAAATTAAAAGGATCAGAAGGATCACATTAAAGTGGAAAGAGGTTGCTAGCTGCAGTCGGGCGGGTACGGAGAAGTTCGGGGTTTTGAGGGAAGGGGCTGGGGGAGCGATCGCCACGAGTACGTGAGAACCGTTGTGCCTGGTAGGTGGTGCTGGCTGTGCCGGGCGCTGCCTCTCCGCGGCCGTGGGCGAGCGGGACCCTGTGCCTAACGAGGTTAAACCTGGGCTCTGCACAGTTCTCTGTGCAATTCCCACCTTGAACGAGTTAATGTCTTACGGCAGGACGGGCCAGCATCCAAAGAAAACATAAGGCTACGTAAGTGCCTTAGGGCACCTGGGCAGCTTGTGCTCCAGGGAGGGAAGGTCAGAGCCTTCACCAGGGCCTGGGATGTGACCGTACCCTCTCCAGGGCAGCTTTTTGCCAGTCTGATGGTTGATCCATGCCTCAGTCACCATAACTGGCCCTTGAAGTCTTCATATTTAGTGACCTTAAACAGTGTGACTGCTGCCTAATACAAAGATGTGTTTTCCCTCCTGATGGAAGGTGAAGCATCCTTTCCTCATGAAGTGGCCAAGCTTTTGCTGCAAGTGACATCTCCAAGGAGCGTAGCTGGGGAGTGGTGTACCTGCTGGCTTGGTGGGACTTGAGCATCTGCTTGACTTTGTATGTTAAGGTGCCAGCAGATCAGGGGAAAGGCAGCAGGATGCAAGGTGGGAACGCTGCCCATGCCAGAGCATCACAGCAAGAAACACAGGTTTTCCCCAGGGAGAGGGCATGGGAGCAGTTCTTGCTCTGGATGGGGTATTCTGGTATCTCTCCCCACCTGCAGGAGTGTGCCCGAATGGGGACGTGTGCCTGGCTGGCAGCTCTGGCCATGCCGGTGCCCGCGAGCAGGGGTCTGATCCCTTCCCGGGGCTCCCCCAGCAGCAGGCTGCGGGTCTCGGGTGCCTCACTTTCTCATTTCTCCCCTGTGCAGACTGCAGATACACCTGCCACCAGGAGTGCCGCAGCCTCATCCAGCTGGACTGCCGCCGGCCGGGCCCGTGCCAGAGCCAGCTCTCGCCCGAGAGCACCCTCCTGCCGCCCCGCAGCCAGGTACGCTGGGGAGGGGGCTCCGGGGGGCGCGGGGGGGACGACAGCCTTGTGGTGACCGATTGCATCTCCTTCAGAGACCAGGTTTCTTGCTCCTGAAGGGTTTTACGAGTGGGAGGTCTTGTCAGAGAGGTCAGCCCATCGGTCCCGTGGACCCAGCCCGTGCCCACTAACGAGTTGCCCGTGTGCCCTGTCCCCCCTTGCCCGTGTGCCCTGTCCCCTCTTGCCTCTATGCCCTGCCTGGGGGGTGCATTCTGGTGTGCTGGAGGTTGTGCCTGTGGGTGTCCCCTCGCCGTAAATGCACATGCAGGGCTCTGTAGGTGTTTAAAACACTTCTGTAGGGCCAGGATGCCTGGAGCAGAGCGGGAGAGGAATCCTAGAATCGTTTTGGTTGGAAAAGACCTTTAAGATCATCAAGCCCAACCGTTGCCCTAACACTGCCAAGTCTGCCCTCCGGGGATGTTGGCACCCACGCTGTGTCCAGGTGCCTGCGAGGAGGGGTCGGTACTGACGTTAAATTGCGTCCCAGCACTGGGTGCAAAGGGCTCGAAAAGGAGCGGCGAAGGTGCGCTCCTCCTGCATCTCAGCAGAGCATGAGCATGGATTTTGCAAGAAGCTCTGGCTTAATAGCCTTGATTTAAGAGTTTCAGTAGTCCCAGGGGATCGAGACTCTTCAATCTGTATTAGGGATGCGCAGTAATCCCCTGGGGCCGCTCCGGAAGGCTTAGCTGTTTGCTTAATCCCCCCCCGAGGGTCCCGTGGTGCCTGCAATGCCAGTGGTGGCCTGCGAGCCAGCGTGGGCGTCTGCTGGGACGGGCTGCCGGGCTCGGTGAGACCGGATGATGCCACGCAAGTTGAGATGTAAGATACTTAATGCTGGGAGCTTAAAGCATTGCTTAGAAACCTGCCCGGAGTGGGTTGGAGTTGTGCAGAACCTTTTCGATCTCTATATGCTTTTTTTTTTTTAAAAACTGTATTCTCGCCTTGGTTATAACGGCGCCTTTATAGTCCTCTTTGTGGAGGACCTTGATGCGCTTGTGCAAAGCTGGAAATGGAAACGTGCACTTTGTCAACGGTGACGCGGGGTTTGCGTTGGGCGTGCGAGGAGCCAGCGGCGGGGTTTGGTCATCGTCCGCTCTTTGCTAGGCGAGGTCTGCAGAGCTCGGTGTGGCTGCGCAATTGCTGCTGATAAAAAAGGTCAGGAGGGGACCTGAGGTTGGATGAGATTTATCTTGGAAGTTATGGATTACAAGGGGACTCTGAATGGATTCTCCACTGAGCCTTCAGGGATTTGAATAAGGGTGTGAAGCCAGATAACGTGTGTGTTCACATCTCCTCCAGGTGTCGTTGGGCTTCCCCCAGCAGCACGAGAAAAGCTTAATTTTTTTTATTTATTTTTTTTTTTAAGAAAAATTAGAAAGACTCATGTCTTCTTCAGGGTGATAACAGCAGCCAGGGGTTATTGATGGTCCTAATAATAAACACGGAGCCTGCGCTTTGGGGCCATTCATCACTCTGACGTGTCTCTGGTGCGATCCTGGGGAGGGGGAGGCGTTTTGTGTCAAGCAGACAAAAGTCTCTCCAATTACAGCAGCAAACAGAAATCTATAAACCCATCCTGAGGTCCCGGCTGGGGATCACACGTCTAAACCCTCCGCATAGTAAAGCCCCATCTCGAGTCTTGTTACCTGTGCTAGGAAAGGCTGGGGGGGTCAGGAGGCGCCGGGGCTGGATTGAGGGTGAACAAGGGTAAATTGCTGCAATAAAGCTCTGTTCTCGTTTGTGGATAATGGATAATCGGGGAAAAATTACCTTTAATTTTACTTGAGCTGAGCCCAAGAGTTCCTGGCGTGTTTCTGTTGGCCAGACAGGCTTTGCTGCTTGAAAGGAGGAGGATGGAGGGAAAACAGTGTCCGTATTCCAGAGGCTCACAGGGTGCCTGAGTGCACCCGGGGAGGGCAGGAGGGGATGGCGCACTGAAAACGCAAGAGACTTAAATGAATAGCTGGCATAGTTGGAAGTCATTAAATAGTATTATCAAATGTAAGCAAACTAGAAGCATCAGAGAAAGAGCTACTTTAATACCACGTAGTTAAGTACTGTTGCCATGTAATACCAGGCATTAATAATTTGGGCTTTGATCCAGCGAAGTACTTAGGCGTGCCGTACGTTTGGGTCCCAGATTAACCTCCCTGGGTGAAATCCAGACTCTTCTGAAGCTGACAAAAGCCTCCGCTGGCCTCGGCAGCACCAGGAGTTTGGCTCCTGGTTTCGGCAGAGCTGGCCATGCACTTCCCAGCTGCGAGCTGGTGCAAGTCACTGGGGTGGGGGGGCTCTGGGGGGGGCTGTTGTGCAGGTAACCATTAACTGGAGCTGCTGCTGGACCAATGGGTCAAAACTACTTGGGGATTTTTATTTTTTTTTTTTGCTTGGTTGGTTTTCTATGGAGCTGATCTTCCAAGCAGGTGGACTGCATTGGAATAAACGAGGGCTCCTTGAGAAGCCCGGGGAGCAAAGCGGCAGGAGCGCATCCAGCTTTGCTTGGGGCGCTGCAAAGCTGCCTGCACCCTGTTTGCACCGTGAAACGCCTGTGGCTGAGGCTTCAGTGAGGACTCGACGCCTGTGCCATTCATCGGCCCAGTGCTCGCTTTCTGCTCGTGTTGCACATGCTCCATTTAAGCCTCTTTCTCTTCTAAATATAGCTTCGTGAAGCTGAGGAGGTTTGTGCCGCTGCAGAACTACGCGTGCTGCTAAGAGGATAGCTTATTTATTTGCTCTGGTACAAGTTGCTTTGTAAATATGCCATTTGGATCCTTGCCTTCCTCTTTGAGATGCAGATGTTGTGTCCTCCCGCTAGTCTTTGCACTGGTGTCCCGTTTTGTATTCACGGGATGCTGCTGGCTGCGGGGTACAGAGCTATCGCAGCCTTGGAGCAATTTAAGTCCTTCGCCTACCAGATACAGATGGAAGGGTATGAAGCACCATCTGCAGTCTATCAAGAGGGGAGGAGGTTTTCATGCGTGGATGGGAGCTTGTGTGAAGATCTGGGAGCCCTTTTGGACCAGGCGGAGAAGGCCTGGGACCTGAAGGAGCGAGCGATAGCCCTGGTTTACAGGAGGGGGTTGCTGATGGTCCCACTGCAGGTAGTCAACTGGGGAGGAGAGCCAGGGCTGCTGCCTGGCGTAAAAATAGCGCTTGGCGGTGGTGCCTTGAAAAGGACCTGAAGGCATTAACGTGAAAGCCATCGGGGCATGGCGGTGCCTTCGCTCTACTCGGCTGGCGGCTCTTGAAGGAGAGGCCAGAAGCATCAGGGCGAGGACGGCGTGCTGCTGCTGTGGCCTCCCTGTGAGCAGTGCCGCGGGCAATCCTTGGGGTTGCATCTCAACCATCCCTTTTAATAACTATCAGTGAGCTCCTCCTGGCGAGCCTGACTTTGTACATCTGCTGCCAGAACCCCTAGTGATGGGCTCTGCAAATCTGATCGTGCATGGCCTGGAAAAGCACTCCTCCTCTTGGTGTCAAACATACCGCACTCCTCATGTAAACCTCTGCCGCGGTTTTGTAGCCCTGTGTCACACCTAGGGTCTCTCCAGTCCTTCCTCCCCAGATCCAGGCTGGCTCCAGGCATGGAAGCCTTCCTGTACCTCCAGTCTGTCCTGCCCCTCGCGGCACCTCCTTGCCATTCTTTATTCTGTCTTGGATGGGCTGGCCAGGTCTTGTGCAAAGCATTTGAAGTGTGGATTTATGGATTTATGCAGCACGACACTCTCAGGCCTCGTTCCCTCTTTCTTTATCAAAATATGATGGAGAATTGTTAGCGTGTATGTTAATACCGCATTGCCTAAGCGGAGTCCTTTTTAACGCGGTGTGCTGGGCTTTTCTTTCGTCCCTTCAGCCTGCTCCTGAGTCCACACTGGTTTCCAGGTGGGTGGGGACAGCCTGTGCTGGGATGTGCTGCATCCCCAGGGACGCACGGCCCCTCGCTGGAGCCCCTGCCGAGGGAGGACCGTAGTCCATGGGGAGCAGAGCCCTTCCCTGGAGCCGGGGTCTCCAGAAATACCTGTGACCTTCAGCAAGGGGGAACATCACAGCTGCTTTAAAAGCCACTGGGTAAAATGCAGGGTGTTAGCAGGTGGCTCTGGAGGGGCCAGGGGAGAGGGGGACAGAGGAGGCAGATCTGGGGAGGGGTCTCTGTGCTGGGCTGGGATTCCACAGGGCTGCAGGGGGAGAGGGGAACAGGGATGCTGCTGCTGCTCTGAGGCTCCTTCCAAGGCCAACACAACATTTTAATCGGTCTGGAGCGAGTGCTTCTTCCAAACAGGACCGAGGAGCTGAACGGCTTTTTCCTGGGCTGCAATCAAAGCTGCCTCAGCCGGGTGCCAGTGCTGCTGAAATCGCTCCCGCTGCTCTAAAATTAGCTGTGGAGCGGAGAGGCACCCACTGCCTCCCAGAGCGTGATGACCAGGGGCTCCCAGCACCCCCAAGGAAGGTCCGAGGCCACGTCCTCGCCAGCCTCCCCCCCACCTTTGGGCAGCGCGTTTCTGCAAGCAGCCTTCGGTCAGGCGGGGTCCAGCCTGGGCTTGCTTCCCTAAGCCAGCAGATGCGACGCAGCTCTCGAGGATGCGCTACCAGGGAAGGAGCAAGAAGCCAGCCAGCCCTGGCGATGTATTTTTGGGTAGCAAAGGAGGTGCCGGGGGTACCCGGGGGCCGGGCAGTGCCCAGGGCCAAGCCCAGCACCTCGGCCCCGGCGTGCAGCGGGGTGAGAAATTTTGCAAGAGGAAGTGGCAGGGCTGCGTGGCGCGAGGCGAGCGCAGGAAGGGGAGGCGATGCTGCACGGGCGCCCGGGGGACCAGACCGCGGGTGGTGAGCGAACCCAGGCAAGGAGAGCGGGAGCAAACTCGCAGCTCTGCCCCTTCCATGCTGCCCCAGCGCCGCTGCGCAGGGAGGCGGGTGGAGGAGGAGAGGGAAGGGTTACCCGGCACGGCTGCCTGTTAAAGAGAAAT